AAAATTCCTCTTCCAGAATTCAATATGGTATCAGAGCTTTGGATTACCCAGATCCTGAGCTCAATTATCTAACCCATCATCGATTATGGAAACGGAGATAGCTCACGAACGAGCTCGAGCTCTACCTACAGAACAAAGAGGTTCTGAGAAGGATTATAGCAATGGAGATCCACTGGATCTACAAGGATCAGATCACCCTGGAATGATTTTACTGACTTCACCTCTAACAGGTAAAAACTATTTAAGTTGGAGTAGATCAATCAAAATTGCACTTGGTGCAAAATTAAAATTGGGATTCATAAATGGGAAATGCGAGAAACCAGCTGAAGATTCTACGAATTTTGATCAATGGATTAGAGTGGATTGTATGGTGAGATCTTGGATACTGAATTCGATCTCAAAGGAAATCGTGGATGCTTTTATATACACGACTTCGGCCAGAGATTTGTGGGTTGAGTTGGAAGAAAGGTATGGAGAATGTAATGGACCTTTGTTGTATCAATTGCAGAGAGAAATTAGTAGTTCAACTCAAGGATCTTTGTCAGTAGAGAAATATTTTACCAAACTCAAAAAATTGTGGGACGAAATTGCATGTCTAATGCCAATTCCAATTTGCACTTGTGAAGCTGCGAAGGAGGTATTTGATCTGGCCTCATTCAATAGACTTATGCAGTTCCTGATGGGATTAAATGACACTTATGATAATGTAAGAAATCAATTGCTGGTAATGGATCCTTTACCGTCAGTCAACAGAGCATATTCCATGGTTTTAAGGGTTGAAAAACAAAGGGAAGTTCATGTTCTTTACCCAGAAGCCACTGATAATGTAGCTATGATGGCATCAGCAAACAATCACAGAGGTAATGGACATATCAGAGGAAGAGGAAGCTGGACTGGAAGGTTTAATACTGGAAGAGGTAATACTGCCTATGGAAGAGGAATCAATAGGAGGTTCAACAATTTTGATAGGGAAATGGTATTCTGTGAACATTGCCATACAAATGGTCATTCAAAGGAAGGTTGTTTCAAGCTAATTGGCTATCCGGATTGGTACAAAGGATTGAAGGAACAGAGGGCTAAGGAATTTGGAGGCAGAGCCTTGGCGAATAATGTGATGAACATAAGTGATTCACCACTAGATCTAGAAGAAAAAGGAACGGTGATGAATCAGCAGAGTGAAATATCATCTGGCAATATCACAGACATTGTGCAAAAGGAGTTGATGAAGATGCTCAAGGGAAAATTGCTGATAGATAGTGGAAGTCAGGTTAATTTCGCACATCTCAATGACTATTCAGGTATGTGCACACAACACTTGGCTTTTACATCACTTGATGATTTTGGATGTAGAACTTGGATAATTGATACAGGTGCCACCAATCATATATGCACAGACATTAACCAAATGACAAATGTTGAACCTGTTACTGAGTCCACTGCAGATTGTTTACCTGATGGATCTATTAAGCATGTTACACACGTTGGATCTATCGCTATNCAGGTGCCACCAATCATTTATGCACAGACATTAACCAAATGACAAATGTTAAACCTGTTACTGAGTCCACTGCTGTTTGGGTACCTGGTGGAGCTATTAAGCATGTTACACATGTTGGATCTATTGCTATAAATCAAAGACTACTCCTGACCAATGTTCTGCATATTCCCACATTCAAATTTAATCTTCTATCTGTACCAAAATTAACACAATCTGCCAAAGTTAGATTCATTTTCTACCCTACTCATTGCTGTCTGCAGGACCTGAAGGATAAAAGGACTATAGCAATTGGGAAACTGAATGGAAGGTTATATACGTTAGATGACAATAGTTTACTGAAAGATGAGAATGAGAATTGTAATAGAGAAGTTAGTCTATGTAATAAATTGCCTACCAGGGAACATGAACCTGGTGATGGAGTGTTTCAAGTGAATAAAACTTCTTCTATTTCAATTATTGATTGGCATAATCGGTTGGGTCATGCATCCTATCAGTGTTTACAGCATTTAGATTTCCTTCATCAACTATGCAATAATTCAAAAAAAATTATTCTGCAGCCATGTGACATCTGCCACAAAGCCAAACAGAGTAGACTGCCTTTCCAAAATTCTCAAATCCATTCCAATTCAATTTTTGATCTGCTGCACATTGATATCTGGGGTCCCTATAGGCAATATACTCCTA